CTGGAGGCGCTTGACGCCCTGTGGATGCGGCTCCGACGATCTTGGGCGCCGACCACTCACAAACACCTGATCCTGGTGCAGGCTTTCTGGGCCAAGGCTTTCCACGCCATCGGCATCACGCTCCTCCCCTTCACGGAGGTGACTAAGCTACGCACCAAGGCAGTCAGAGCCCTGGGACACGGACACGCAGGGGCCAACCCAGGTTTGAGGTTGGGCCTCCTTTGTGGCGATGTGACTGTGGATCCGGGCGGCTATCAACTGATCCGGGTCTTTCAGGACTTCAAGCGCTTCATGGCCAAACAGCCACACCTCTTGGAGTTATGGTTCAGTTTCGTCCAGCACTACGACGGCACGCTCTTTTCTGGACCTTTCAGTAAGCTGCTCGAACAATGCGACCTCATCCACTGGCAAGTCAAAGAACCGCCGTTTGTCACAGATCATCTGGGCCTTCCGATCGACCTGCTCCAAGAACCCTGGCCGGCCCTCCGGGTACGGCTTTGTGATGCCTGGCGACAACGCCTCTCTCGCGAAGTCGGACATCGCAAGGACTATGCAGGTTTGGTAGGTATCCGGTGGCCGCCTAGCCGTTCCGAAGGTCGCTTGTCAGCCTTGGATGTGGCCAGGATCAATTCACTCAGGGAGGGCGCCTTCCTCACCGGCGAGCATCAGGGGCGTTTTGACATGGTCAAAGGTCAGAAGTGCGCGTGTGGTGCCCTGGATACCATGCAGCACCGATGCATTGAATGCCCCAGACTTGCAGCTGTGCACCGCAAACACCCTTGGGCCGTGGAGCACTGGCACGATCACCCCCGCGCGCTCGTTGAGCACCTTCTACCCTCTGCTTTACCTCAGGAACAACCACTTCGACATCAGCTATACCATCAGCAGGACCTTGGACACACTCATTTTGAGCCGGTGCCCAACACACACCATGACCTTTACCGATGGCAGCTGCCTTTCACCAACCAAGCCGGCCTTGGCATGTGCCGCATGGGCGGTGGTCTCTTTCAATCACGAGGCCACTTTAGCAGCCAGTCCCTTGGCCGGACTCCAGCAGGACATTGACCGGGCAGAACTTCATGCAGTTCTTTGCGCAGTCAGTTGGTTGGTGCGGCATCGTTGCCACGGAACAGTTTGGTCCGACAGCGCCTATGCTACATGCGGGCTTGCAGCATTGCTCTCGGACCGGGCCGCGGACACCCCGTCCACAAATTCGGACTTGTGGGAGAACCTCAGGTTTCAGCTTGACGCCGCTCCTGATGGTCTCATACAGGTACAACATGTTCCTGGACATATGCAGGTCAATTCGGGCTCGCCTTGCTTGGATGAATGGTTGGCCACCTGGAACGGCCACGCAGACACCGCGGCCAAAAAGGCGCACGGTCTGCGACCACCTGCTTTTTGGAACCTCTGGTGTGAATACAAAGCAGCCTTCGAGGACTCTTGCACTGCGGTTGATCGTTTTCGTTGCCTCCACCTGGATGTTGCCGCTGCACTTCAGGACAACACCTATGTGGAAGTGGAGGCACCTGCCGAGGAAGCCCTGCGTGCCCCTTTGCGACCTTGCACAGTGGGTGGAGACTGGGCCGAAGAATTGCCGATCAACTGGCAAAGCATGTGGTCCATTTCGGAGCATGCAACCCGTTTCGGGCGGACTTTCGCCATCAATTTGGTTAGCTGGCTTCAGCAACAGCACAGCCGGGACCCTATCTCAGTACAGCTCAGCTGGCTCGAACTTGCCATGGCTGTTTTTTTGTTTTGTGGTGCACACCCTTCTCCTACTGCCACCCACACTGGTGAGCAGTGGCTTGATGCGCAGATGGCACCACCCACGGCAGGGCAACTCACCGTTGCAGGACGAGTGCGGTACATCCGCGGTCTCGTCAAAGCCTTGGCTTCCTTTTTTGCATGCGATTGCATCTTTGTGGGCGGCCTGGACCGATCTTTCCTTCGGGTTCACCCGCCTTTGCAGGGACTCGTGCTCACCATGAGCCGAGACTCACTGACGGCCATTGATGAGGCCTTTGGGCGCTTCACCAGTAAGCGACCCATCCGCAAAGGCAACGACCTTTGCCGTCCTTTTTGAGACTCATGACAGGTCGGCTGCACCGCGTCTCCGCCGTGCACCGGCCGCTGAAGACCGTTCGCGTGGTTACGACCCTTAATTTTGCAATGCGTTTAACCCGTACGTTTAGGCTCAGGGCAGAAACTTGGTAACGAAGGGCGCGCCAGGTAGCTTCTGCTTTCCAACCTCTTGCGTGGTTGATGGTTTCGAAAGAAACTTCCATGTCCTACCTACACGAGCAACGAACACAGGCAGGAAACAGGAGGGCAGGCAGGTCCACTAAAACTAGCCCAAGCAGCAACTGCACCTGCATACTCTGCGCAGCTACACATAATCAGCAATCAAAGGAAAGTATGGGTCTCTCAAAATAGGGAGACCCACAAAATGCGTGGTTCCTTTTGGAACCCATTTAACACCAACCAAACGGGGACCCCCGCCCCCCCAAGAAAAAAAAACACCCCCTGTGACTGTCATGTGACTATCAGAGCAATCGCATCAATCACACGCGTATCTACCCGTATTTCAAATTAGGCAACGCTATGCGACAACAGCATTGCGTGTACAGCTGTGCGTGTGTGAACGGCCCTATGACGCACATGTCTATATGTGACGTGAACACATATGCGAATATGTGTGCTCGCACAATGAACTAGGACTACAAGTACAACGCAAACAAGTCACGCACATGGTGTGAGAAACACATGAGGAGCGGACGAAACACTTTACTTGGCCCTAGTACTGTTTTGCACGTTATCGTTTTTGGGGGAGACCTTATCGTTTTACAGTGTTTTCGAACTTTGGCAGATCCGGCTCGAAAATCGCAACTTTGTAGTGCAAGTCTAGTACGCGAAGTACACTTCCGCATCTCCAGCTCTAAAATCGCAACTTTGTAGTACAAGTCTAGTACGAGAAGTACACTTCCGCATCTCCAGCTCGAAAATCGCAACTTTGTAGTACAAGTCTAGTACGCGAAGTACACTTCCGCATCTCCAGCTCGAAAATCGCAACTTTGTAGTACAAGTCTAGTACGCGAAGTACACTTCCGCATCTCCAGCTCGAAAATCGCAACTTTGTAGTACAAGTCTAGTACGCGAAGTACACTTCCGCAGCTCCAGCTCGAAAATCGCAACTTTGTAGTACAAGTCTAGTACGCGAAGTACACTTCCGCAGCTCCAGCTCGAAAATCGCAACTTTGTAGTACAAGTCTAGTACGCAAAGTAAACTTCCGCAGCTCCAGCTCGAAAATCGCAACTTTGTAGTACAAGTCTAGTAAGCGAAGTACACTTCCACATCTCCAGCTCAAAAATCGCAACTTTGTGGTACAACTCTGGTAAGCGAAGTACACTTCCGCATCTCCAGCTCGAAAATCGCAACTTTGTAGTACAAGTCTAGTACGGGAAGTACACTTCCACAGCGCTCCAGCTCGAAAATCGCAACTTTGTAGTACAAGTCTAGTACGCGAAGTACACTTCCGCAGCTCCAGCTCGAAAGTCGCAACTTTGTAGTACAAGTCTAGTACGCAAAGTAAACTTCCGCAGCTCCAGCTCGAAATCGCAACTTTGTAGTACAAGTCTAGTACAGGAAGTACAATTCCACAGCGCTCCAGCTCGAAAATCGCAACTTTGTAGTACAAGTCTAGTACGCGAAGTACACTTCCGCAGCTCCAGCTCGAAAATCGCAACTTTGTAGTACAAGTCTAGTACGCGAAGTACACTTCCGCATCTCCAGCTCGAAAATCGCAACTTTGTAGTACAAGTCTAGTACGCGAAGTACACTTAGTACGCGAAGTACACTTCCGCAGCTCCAGCTCGAAAATCGCAACTTTGTAGTGCAAGTCTAGTCCGCATCTCCAGCGCAAGTACACGCTACACTCCGCATCTCCAGCTCGAAAATCGCAACTTTGTAGTACAAGTCTAGTACGCGAAGTACACTTCCACATCTCCAGCTCGAAAATCGCAACTTTGTAGTACAAGTCTAGTACGCGAAGTACACTTCCGCAGCTCCCGCTCGAAAATCGCAACTTTGTAGCACAAGTCTAGTACGCGAAGTACACTTCCGCAGCTCCAGCTCGAAAATCGCAACTTTGTAGTACAAGTCTAGTACGCGAAGTACACTTCCGCAGCTCCAGCTCGAAAGTCGCAACTTTGTAGTACAAGTCTAGTACGCAAAGTAAACTTCCGCAGCTCCAGCTCGAAAATCGCAACTTTGTAGTACAAGTCTAGTACAGGAAGTACAATTCCACAGCGCTCCAGCTCGAAAATCGCAACTTTGTAGTACAATCTAGTACAAGAAGTACACTTCCGCAGGTCCAGCTCGAAAATCGCAACTTTGTAGTGCAATCCTAGTACGCCAAGTACACTTCCGCAGCTCCAGCTCGAAAATCGCAACTTTGTACTACAAGTCTAGTACGAGAAGTACACTTCCGCAGCTCCAGCTCGAAAATCGAAACTTTGTCGTGCAAGTCTAGTACGCGAAGTACACTTCCGCAGCTCCAGCTCGAAAATCGCAACTTCTCAGCACAAGTGTCGTATTTACGAAGCACACCTTGGCAGCTCCAGCTCGAAAGTGGCGACTCGCCTTCTCGTTTTACGGTGGCCACGCAAGGGTCCCTCCCTAGCTAAGTTGCAACTGCAGGGGTTATTATAGAGCCGTGTGTTAGCTAAGGGTTATCGTTTTTGGGGGAGACCTTATCGTTTTGCATGGCTTTGGCATGTGTTATGCAAAAACGTACCCCGCCTTGATAAAGTGGTCTTCGTGTGTTTTGTCCGTGGCTCACATATTCGATTTGACTTTGAGAAGAACCCGCATACAAGCATTGCCAACGGTGATTCTATTGGTATTCCCATGTTGGTTAGTTTTTGAAGCGAAACCAAAAGCAACCATTTGGGGGTCCCCTGATTGTGAGGCACCCGCACGGCAAAAGAGCCGGAGGTGCCGCTCCCGGAGGTGGTTCAGCTCTTGATTCAGCTTCCCCTGGCCAGACGCGGACAGGCCATCCAGCCGAACGAGTTGCTTCATGAAAAGTCGTGGAGTGGTTCCTCGCGCCTCTTGCGCCAAACAGGTGTTGTTAACTGCTGTAGCAGAACGTCTACAGTTTGGGTGAGGGGTTTCGAATCGGGAGAGATGCTTCACTATAGAGCCCTTGGCTGAGCTAGCAAACGGCCCGTGGGCTGCAAAACTCTGCGCCCTAGGGTTGCACGGTTGAGTTTCAGGTTTCAAGACTTTCGGTGTAGCGGGAGTTGGATTCAGGCAAACGGTATCTCAAAGAGAATCCCAGGGAACGTCATCGCACAAAATGGAGACCACCGGCACCAGCTCAAATCAGGGAGCTGTGCAAGCATAAACACGGCACACATAATTTCTGTGGTGCAAGCAGGCCAGAAAGGCATTCTCTTGAGATATCCGAGTGGCCTCTCTGCCTGTCTGAGCATGGGCCAACCTTAGATCCACCGCGATTCAAAAATTTTATCTGGTCCAGGAAACATCACTTAATGCTGTAGAAAACGGCTTGGATGCATTTGTTGTGGTTTTTACCCGTTCTTCCCCTGTAGGTTCTGTTTTAGTTACTTTTTAGTACTCGTTTAATATCCAACCGGGGTGGTTCCACAAAAAAACACATCCAAACCGATTTGTTTAAATCAAGCTGAGTGCAAGGCTCTTTCTCCTGCAGCTCCTCTTGCAATTCCTTGTTCTGCCTGAACGCGTTTTGCCATATCAGCATAAGCACCAGCGGGCACCGCAAACGAGCATTCGAACAAGGCTGACGACTTTGCCAATATTGCGATGTGCTGCTTCTGGCGACCTAATGTCCTGACTAGGGAGCGCCTTCCCCCTCAACTCCAGAATAAGTGGAATGAATAGGACACAACAGTTGGGATGGTTACCAATTCATTTAGGGGCAAAGAAATGTGGCTTGATTTAGGGGCATGTTGTTCCTTAGTGTGGGGATGTTTCCGCTTTATTCAGAGGTCCTTTACAAATACCTCGTGGAGATGGGTGCATTCTGCCCGCCGTGGACCGCCGCTTCACGCCACCGCCCGGTTCTGTTTCAACTCAGCGCGGCGCCGTTGCAGTGCCGTGATCTCAGCATCCTGGACGTGAATCACACCCGGCCCAGCCATCAGAGCGCAAATTTCCGAGTGCAAAGAAAGGGAAACCCTGGAATCTCAATGGGGATTTGAAGCCACGGTTGTTCAAATCCCGATGGGAAGCACACACGGCACCAAGCCATTCACCCAGCCCATCAAGCTTGGGAAAGCTGAAACCAACAAGATTAGAGTAACTAGGAAGGGGGCAGGTGAGTCCCCCTACGCAACACGCCTCGCGAAAGATTTGCCCGTGTGCGCGTGTCACGGGGTCACAGGGGGTTCTAGATCCTATTCCCGCTCTTAACAGGGCATTCGCAGCTGCTTTCATTGACAAAGCTGAGGAAGCTTACCTGTGGCGGCTTGAAGCCGTGTCAAACTGAGTTATTTGAACTCGTCACGGCGCTTTCACATGTAGATCTCGCAGATTGGAGGGGTGCAGATTTCCAAGAGCGGTGACAGGCCGCGTGCAGGGCGAATAGCCACGAGGAACAGGAACGGCTGCCCAGTGACCCTAGGTTCGGATTAGGTGACACGGGAACTTTGTTGGGGTTGACTGTTTTGGCGAGAATCCACCAAGCAAACACCAAAGGGTGCCACACCGGGAATGTGGCCGACCCATCCTTCTGTCGCATCAACTTCTCTGTGTTGCGCAGCAGCTCCTCGCAAGCTGAGTGGGCCAAGGATGGATCGGTTCACATGCAGTCTACTCATCCATCTGACGGGATTTGTCATTTCCACACGTAACCTCACATGGATCTGTATCTTGATGATCCAAGACCAAAGCTGTAAGATTGGCGCAATTGTGCATTTCTTCTCTCCGACGTCAGTCCATGCTCCCTCGTACACATTTCAACCAAGCGCTGGCCGGCCCCACCCAGTTCAGTGCCCTGCCTGCGATGCGGGTTCCTGCACACGTAATGTGCGCGAGTGCTGCTACCTTCGACTACTACCTTCGACTACTTCGACTACTGCAAACGAATTGCCGTACAAATGAACACACACGAATGAGTATAAGAAACTCAGCAAATGCATGTGAGCGAACTAGAGCTGCTCATGCAGCGAAATCGGAACTACAGCGAGTGGAATCGGTCGATCAACCGCTCTTCCCACCTCTGGCGGTGCTGGTTTACAGCGGACATTGGCACCTTAGCTGCAGGGCTCAAGGACTTAATAGACACCATCTGGCAATGCACTGGGGATTTTGAACATGGAGATCCCTCAGATCCCTCAGTTTATCAGGCTTGCCAAGCCATCCATTGTGACCTGGCAACTGCCAGACCCGCTCGCTCCATTCAACAGGTTGAGAATGTTGCTAGTTTCCGAGGCCATCAGAAGGAATGGACATGGCAAACGTCTGGTTGAACTCCACAAGATTCGCAAGTTCATCTGCGTAGCAATGGCTTAGCGTATGTACAACCAAGCTTGGACATCAGGCGTTCTGGCTCTAATGTGAAAGGCACTTCGCATTTGTCTTTTTACTATACATTGATGCAGACTCGTCATCGTGATGACCTGACAAGCAACTAAGGGTGCATTGGCTAGCATCCTTTTTCTAGACGATTGTTGTTTCGTTTCTTAGTGGGCACGAGTGGTTCTGAGATTTCTATCCTCCTCTTGGCCAGGCTCGGCAAGGAAAGCGATTTGATAGAATGTCAAACTGAGTAAGGACCACTTTCTGCCTTTGGCAGGATATTAACAACAGTTCCTGATTTCGACACAGTCCTTCTCGCTCGCTTTGCACTTGCAAGCTCCAAGGCTGCAGCATTTGGTAACCGCCTTGGCAAACACGCTCTGGCGTGGTCCCCAACAGTTCAAACAGATCAACACGCCCAAAGCTCTGGGTGGGCCTTGCCTGAGAAAGGATGTGCTACTGATGGGTGTTACGTGTATGGCAGTCCAAAAGAGCCAAAGAGTGAGCCAATGTGGCAACTCATGCAAGCTCATCAGAGCCAACAGCAAGCTCGGTGAAATCCCTGAGCATGAAAGGCAGTCTCAACTCGATGGAATAACCAAGGGCCTACAATCATCTTGGCTGTTAATGCGTTGGATTGAGGAACCAATAGCCTTGGCTACGCAGCTGTCTACCCGCGTTGAATGCACAGGCATCGCTTTGGCTCAGAACAATGGCAACCAATTCATTCAGTATCCCAGCCCTCGGTCCTCGGAAACGCCGATTCTTAGCCAAAGGTCTCATTCTACAGCAGTGACAGCTTGGGCATCATGTGGGGTCGTCGGAAATTACTTCTCCTGCAAACTGCCCTTCTGCCCCCGTTCCGCGAAGCTTCCGCGCTCTTCCGCGCCACTAGTTGTTGCTGATGGTCGCTCATGGTTTTGGGGAAAACTTGTCTTTTGCGCTCCTTCCGCATTACTTGCGTGCGACGTCCGCGCTTCTCTTCACGTGTGTTGGTGTTCTGTCTTTGTGTATTGGCCCTGGGGGCCAATTATATTTATGAGACACACACACACACACGTATCCTGGCCCTTCCGCATCTTTTTCGCAGCCTTCCGCGTCTGTTCCGCGCAAACAGTGGGAAGCGCATGCCATGATCGCCTGAAATTCGGATCTTTTTTTAAAACCGAATACACAGATTTTCTGATGACCCCCACAATCCGGAAAGAAGGGGAACACCCTATAGACAATGAAATGGCAAATTCAGAAATCGCGGCAGCAAATCTATTGAAGTGGTGGTAGCCTTCAAACAGTGAACATTATGAGGCATCCTTATAGAAAGCACTTGAATGTGTTCCCATGCAGATACATATGCCGCAAACATGACACATACTCACGCAACGGGCAATGAACATGCTCAATACGCGCTTCTTGAACACTGCTGCCATCTCATCTAAAACCACCATCTCGAAACGTCTGTCTCAATATGAATGTTAACATTCCAAACTCTGACATGGGCCTCCGCGACCCCTAGTTAGTACCGCGTGTTCGGAAGAATCATTCTCCCGCGCATCAGTTGATTTCACTTCCAATCCCGCGCAGCCACATACAACTACCTGCTCCCACACCTTCTATCCCGGAACCCGTTCAATCTGAGCTTTGGCCGGGCGGTGGGGGGGGAGGGTGTATTCATCCGACGTTAATATTAAAATTTCAACTATTGAGCCACAAGTGTGACGAGCATGTGCCCAACGCATGTGCCCAACAACCACGTGGTGGGGAATTACAAGGGCGGCCGGCTCTGTTCATGGACAAGACCCAGCGGTCTGTTGCGGCTCGGAACATCCTCGTGGAGACATTTGAACTGATGGCATCTGGCCTGCAAACTGCGACGGCAGGAGTTGTACTGCTCGAAGAGGGCTAAGAGGCCCTGCAATCAGGAATTCAACGCGACATGGGGCAACTCAAATAGCCCGGAAGACGCGATCCTCATCCTCATCATCATCCTCGTCCTCGTCATCGTCATCGTCATCATCATCATCATCGTCATCGTCATCGTCATCATCATCATCATCATCCTCGTCATCGTCACCATCATCATTATAGTAATCATCCTCATCCTCATCCTGACCCTCATCCTCATCACTAAATTAAATCATTACCATCATCCTCGTCACCGTTTTGAGGGCAGGCCGGTATTCAAGGCATCAATCCTGCCTCGCTGCTATAGAACACCTTTCACTCTGCAGGTGAATTTGCGGTGAGGTGTGACAGTCCTCAAACCACATAACATGTTGATAAACAATGTTTGGCACAAGGTCCCTAAATCGCGCTTACTGCGTTTCAAGGGGACAAGTAGATGGTACCGCTGCAGAAAGGCTGCAAGTATCGCTGCTCTGATCACCATGTGGCACGTGGGTTCATTTGTGGCAAATCTAGTTGCATGGGTGTGCTTGCTCATCAATACACCCTGGCGTCGATTTATCATGGACGCAGTTGAACAAGCGCGCACATCAACGAGCCACATCGAGCCACCTAGTGGTCAACCATCAGAAAAAACACGAGGCAACGCTTCACGTTGCAAACTCCCCGCTGCTTGCCGCCGCCTGCAGTGGCTCGTCTCGGCGCTTCGCTTGCTCCAGCAGACTGGCACCTTGATGCAATTCTTCACTCATCGGGGCATTGACAGGGATTGATATGCGGCAGTCAAACATGAAGCCATATTCAACCTAGTCTATCAAAAGCAAAGCATCCTCATGCAACTCAGCAGCACCATTCATTCTTGAACAAGGCAATGTAGGTTCAATTCATTGATGCTTCATGCGGGTCTGTCTGCAAAAAGAAAACTACAAATAACACATTGCTACTTGGAACTAGCCCCGCTGCTGTTCTCCGCACTCCATGTTTGTCCCGCGCAGCACACAAAGCGCGCAGTTGTGAAGTTGTAACACAAGAACTTGCTAGAAGCGATGGCGACAAGCTCACTTCGTCAGCTCCTTGAGCTCAGAAGGCACTGGGCATGGCTTGAACTTCTCGCCCTGGCCGAAGGTGAACTTACAAGCAGCCTTGCCGGCCACGCGGCCGAAGACCACGCAGTCCAACAAGGAGTTGCCGCCCAGGCGGTTGTTGCCGTGGATGCCGCCCGCTGCCTCCCCCGCCACATAAAGGCCAGGGATGACCTTGCCGCTCTTGTCCAGGCACTCGGCGTCGGCGCTGCACTCCAAGCCGCCCATGCAGTAGTGGATCACCGGCGTGATGATCGCAACATAGAAGGGCTCGGACGCCACCTTGGAGCCCTCGAGGATGTTGTGGAAGAACTTCTTGCCACTGCCGGTCTTGCCGCTGGGCTCATCCCAGGTCTTGCCGGAGGGGTAGGCCGGGTAAGGTCCGCCGTTGGGGTCCTTCTCCTGCTTCTTGGCAGCATCGTAATGCGTCTGGTGGGTGTCCACCAGCTTCTGCAGAGGCACGCCCATGTCCTTGGCCAGGTCCTCACCCGAGGCATAGTACTTCATCACCCCACGGCCAGTGTAGTGCTTGGCGTGCCAAATGATCTCATCTGCCGCAGCCTTGTTCAAGCACAGACGGAAGGGCGGCTTGCTCTTCCACATCTCACCAGTGACGTAGTCCCGGCGTCCAAGCTCGTTGCAAAAACGGTCGCCGTTGGCGTCCAGCACGATGCCGCCCACGCCCCGCAGGGCCTCGGCAGCCAGGAACTTCACCTTGGCATCCGGGTCGTCGGGCTTCACCAGGCCAGTGGGGTGCACCTGCACCCACTCCAGGTCGATGCTGAGAGCGCCAATCGCCTCTCCCATCTTGATGGCATCGCCAGTGCAGTGCTCACCGTTGGTGGTGGGCAAATGCAGCAGGTCCGGGCGGTACTGGGCCAGCAGCGAGTCCGAGCCGAAGTCCGCACCGAAGCCGCCAGAGGCCAAGACCATGGGTCCGAACTCCTTGATCACCTTGCCCGCCTTGCGGTACTCGCATCCCACCACGGCCTTGCCGTTCTGTAGGAGCTTGGTCACCTCGGCCTTGGTGATGATGCGGGCCCGGTCCGTCTTCTCAGCCACCTTCTCCAGCATCTGGATCAAGGCATAGGTGATGGTCATGCCAGGGAACCGCTCCTTGCCGCGGTGAGTGCGGGGCTGAGAGTGGCCTCCAAGCCGGGCCACCAGCGACAGATCCAGGTCGAACTTGTCCACCAGCCAGTCCACGTCTGCGGCGCTGTTGGCGCAAAGCACCTTGGCCAGCTCCGGCTTCTTGGCTCCGCCCTTCAGCGTGTCCGCGATGAAGATCTCGGCCGTGTCCGGAATGGACTTGGCCTTCTGCGTCTTGGTGCCTGCACCGTTGATGCCGCTAGTGGCCTTGGTGCTGTTCCCTCCGCAGAAGGAGGACTTGTCCAAAAGCACGGTCTTGCCACCGTTCTCAACCACGGTGTTGGCGGCGGACATGCCGGCAAGGCCGCCGCCCACTACAATCACCTGGTTCGCAGGGAAAACTGCCGCCATGGTGGGTCACGCTGCTTGCGCACACCTTTGAGCTACAAGTTAAAGACTTGGAGCCAAGGCAGCATGAAGCCTGCAGCATGTCATCAAGAAAGATTACCGTATAAGGATAGAGCTGCATCAACGTCCAAGTGTGCTGATTGCAAAAGTGTTGGTTTACCATGATACATGTGCTTGAATTCCAGTAACCACACAACGCACAAAATAATATGGGTAAGCATAAGCCCGGATCACAAGATTGTCCCGCCAGGTCTCCTTTTCCCGCGCAGCACACAAAGCGCGCAGTTGTGAAGTTGTAACACAAGAACTTGCTAGAAGCGATGGCGACAAGCTCACTTCGTCAGCTCCTTGAGCTCAGAAGGCACTGGGCATGGCTTGAACTTCTCGCCCTGGCCGAAGGTGAACTTACAAGCAGCCTTGCCGGCCACGCGGCCGAAGACCACGCAGTCCAACAAGGAGTTGCCGCCCAGGCGGTTGTTGCCGTGGATGCCGCCCGCTGCCTCCCCCGCCACATAAAGGCCAGGGATGACCTTGCCGCTCTTGTCCAGGCACTCGGCGTCGGCGCTGCACTCCAAGCCTCCCATGCAGTAGTGGATCACCGGCGTGATGATCGCCACATAGAAGGGCTCGGACGCCACCTTGGAGCCCTCGAGGATGTTGTGGAAGAACTTCTTGCCACTGCCGGTCTTGCCGCTGGGCTCATCCCAGGTCTTGCCGGAGGGGTAGGCCGGGTAAGGTCCGCCGTTGGGGTCCTTCTCCTGCTTCTTGGCAGCATCGTAATGCGTCTGGTGGGTGTCCACCAGCTTCTGCAAAGGCACGCCCATGTCCTTGGCCAGGTCCTCACCCGAGGCATAGTACTTCATCACCCCACGGCCAGTGTAGTGCTTGGCGTGCCAAATGATCTCATCTGCCGCGGCCTTGTTCAAGCACAGGCGGAAGGGCGGCTTGCTCTTCCACATCTCACCAGTGACGTAGTCCCGGCGTCCAAGCTCGTTGCAAAAACGGTCGCCGTTGGCGTCCAGCACGATGCCGCCCACGCCCCGCAGGGCCTCGGCAGCCAGGAACTTCACCTTAGCATCCGGGTCGTCGGGCTTCACCAGGCCAGTGGGGTGCACCTGCACCCACTCCAGGTCGATGCTGAGAGCGCCAATCGCCTCTCCCATCTTGATGGCATCGCCAGTGCAGTGCTCACCGTTGGTGGTGGGCAAATGCAGCAGGTCTGGGCGGTACTGGGCCAGCAGCGAGTCCGAGCCGAAGTCCGCACCGAAGCCGCCAGAGGCCAAGACCATGGGTCCGAACTCCTTGATCACCTTGCCCGCCTTGCGGTACTCGCATCCCACCACGGCCTTGCCGTTCTGTAGGAGCTTGGTCACCTCGGCCTTGGTGATGATGCGGGCCCGGTCCGTCTTCTCAGCCACCTTCTCCAGCATCTGGATCAAGGCATAGGTGATGGTCATGCCAGGGAACCTCTCCTTGCCGCGGTGAGTGCGGGGCTGAGAGTGGCCTCCAAGCCGGGCCACCAGCGACAGATCCAGGTCGAACTTGTCCACCAGCCAGTCCACGTCTGCGGCGCTGTTGGCGCAAAGCACCTTGGCCAGCTCCGGCTTCTTGGCTCCGCCCTTCAGCGTGTCCGCGATGAAGATCTCGGCCGTGTCCGGAATGGACTTGGCCTTCTGCGTCTTGGTGCCTGCACCGTTGATGCCGCTAGTGGCCTTGGTGCTGTTCCCTCCGCAGAAGGAGGACTTGTCCAAAAGCACGGTCTTGCCACCGTTCTCAACCACGGTGTTGGCGGCGGACATGCCGGCAAGGCCGCCGCCCACTACAATCACCTGGTTCGCAGGGAAAACTGCCGCCATGATGGTCACGCTGCTTGCGCACACCTTTGAGCTACAGGTTAAAGACTTGGAGCCAAGGCAGCATGAAGCCTGCAGCATGTCATCAAGAAAGATTACCGTATAAGGATAGAGCTGCATCAACGTCCAAGTGTGCTGATTGCAAAAGTGTTGGTTTACCATGATACATGTGCTTGAATTCCAGTACCCACATACGCACAAAATAATATGGGTAAGCATAAGCCCGGATCACAAGATTGTCCCGCCAGGTCTCCTTTTCCCGCGCAGCACACAAAGCGCGCAGTTGTGAAGTTGTAACACAAGAACTTGCTAGAAGCGATGGCGACAAGCTCACTTCGTCAGCTCCTTGAGCTCAGAAGGCACTGGGCATGGCTTGAACTTCTCGCCCTGGCCGAAGGTGAACTTACAAGCAGCCTTGCCGGCCACGCGGCCGAAGACCACGCAGTCCAACAAGGAGTTGCCGCCCAGGCGGTTGTTGCCGTGGATGCCGCCCGCTGCCTCCCCCGCCACATAAAGGCCAGGGATGACCTTGCCGCTCTTGTCCAGGCACTCGGCGTCGGCGCTGCACTCCAAGCCTCCCATGCAGTAGTGGATCACCGGCGTGATGATCGCAACATAGAAGGGCTCGGACGCCACCTTGGAGCCCTCGAGGATGTTGTGGAAGAACTTCTTGCCACTGCCGGTCTTGCCGCTGGGCTCATCCCAGGTCTTGCCGGAGGGGTAGGCCGGGTAAGGTCCGCCGTTGGGGTCCTTCTCCTGCTTCTTGGCAGCATCGTAATGCGTCTGGTGGGTGTCCACCAGCTTCTGCAGAGGCACGCCCATGTCCTTGGCCAGGTCCTCACCCGAGGCATAGTACTTCATCACCCCACGGCCAGTGTAGTGCTTGGCGTGCCAAATGATCTCATCTGCCGCAGCCTTGTTCAAGCACAGGCGGAAGGGCGGCTTGCTCTTCCACATCTCACCAGTGACGTAGTCCCGGCGTCCAAGCTCGTTGCAAAAACGGTCGCCGTTGGCGTCCAGCACGATGCCGCCCACGCCCCGCAGGGCCTCGGCAGCCAGGAACTTCACCTTAGCATCCGGGTCGTCGGGCTTCACCAGGCCAGTGGGGTGCACCTGCACCCACTCCAGGTCGATGCTGAGAGCGCCAATCGCCTCTCCCATCTTGATGGCATCGCCAGTGCAGTGCTCACCGTTGGTGGTGGGCAAATGCAGCAGGTCCGGGCGGTACTGGGCCAGCAGCGAGTCCGAGCCGAAGTCCGCACCGAAGCCGCCAGAGGCCAAGACCATGGGTCCGAACTCCTTGATCACCTTGCCCGCCTTGCGGTACTCGCATCCCACCACAGCCTTGCCGTTCTGTAGGAGCTTGGTCACCTCGGCCTTGGTGATGATGCGGGCCCTGTCCGTCTTCTCAGCCACCTTCTCCAGCATCTGGATCAAGGCATAGGTGATGGTCATGCCAGGGAACCGCTCCTTGCCGCGGTGAGTGCGGGGCTGAGAGTGGCCTCCAAGCCGGGCCACCAGCGACAGATCCAGGTCGAACTTGTCCACCAGCCAGTCCACGTCTGCGGCGCTGTTGGCGCAAAGCACCTTGGCCAGCTCCGGCTTCTTGGCGCCGCCCTTCAGCGTGTCCGCGATGAAGATCTCGGCCGTGTCCGGAATGGACTTGGCCTTCTGCGTCTTGGTGCCTGCACCGTTGATGCCGCTAGTGGCCTTGGTGCTGTTCCCTCCGCAGAAGGAGGACTTGTCCAAAAGCACGGTCTTGCCACCGTTCTCAACCACGGTGTTGGCGGCGGACATGCCGGCAAGGCCGCCGCCCACTACAATCACCTGGTTCGCAGGGAAAACTGCCGCCATGGTGGGTCACGCTGCTTGCGCACACCTTTGAGCTACAAGTTAAAGCCTTGGAGCCAAGGCAGCAATCGCTACATCCCATCATGCAAGCAACAACACTTGCCGCACTTGCCGCAAAAACAAATCGTTCAGAATTCGCGCAAAACACGCCTGCAGGAGATGGTCTGTGGTACAACAAAAACGGTCGTGCTGAAAAGAACATCAGTCGGCCAGTAATCAAAGGAACATGCCTGTGCAACAAACAAGGAAGAACAACTGCCTCTGGTTGTGGTGGAGACAATGACTCGTATGAACTGCAAAGCAACCAGGCTTGTTGCGTACTTGTTTGGCACTCCTGAGGCCTGCAGCATGTCATCAAGAAAGATTACCGTATAAGGATAGAGCTGCATCAACGTCCAAGTGTGCTGATTGCAAAAGTGTTGGTTTACCATGATACATGTGCTTGAATTCCAGTAACCACACAACGCACCAAATAATATGGGTAAGCATAAGCCCGGATCACAAGATTGTCCCGCCAGGTCTCCTTTTCCCGCGCAGCACACAAAGCGCGCAGTTGTGAAGTTGTAACACAAGAACTTGCTAGAAGCGATGGCGACAAGCTCACTTCGTCAGCTCCTTGAGCTCAGAAGGCACTGGGCATGGCTTGAACTTCTCGCCCTGGCCGAAGGTGAACTTACAAGCAGCCTTGCCGGCCACGCGGCCGAAGACCACGCAGTCCAACAAGGAGTTGCCGCCCAGGCGGTTGTTGCCGTGGATGCCGCCCGCTGCCTCCCCCGCCACATAAAGGCCAGGGATGACCTTGCCGCTCTTGTCCAGGCACTCGGCGTCGGCGCTGCACTCCAAGCCTCCCATGCAGTAGTGGATCACCGGCGTGATGATCGCAACATAGAAGGGCTCGGACGCCACCTTGGAGCCCTCGAGGATGTTGTGGAAGAACTTCTTGCCACTGCCGGTCTTGCCGCTGGGCTCATCCCAGGTCTTGCCGGAGGGGTAGGCCGGGTAAGGTCCGCCGTTGGGGTCCTTCTCCTGCTTCTTGGCAGCATCGTAATGCGTCTGGTGGGTGTCCACCAGCTTCTGCAGAGGCACGCCCATGTCCTTGGCCAGGTCCTCACCCGAGGCATAGTACTTCATCACCCCACGGCCAGTGTAGTGCTTGGCGTGCCAAATGATCTCATCTGCCGCAGCCTTGTTCAAGCATAAACGGAAGGGCGGCTTGCTCTTCCACATCTCACCAGTGACGTAGTCCCGGCGTCCAAGCTCGTTGCAAAAACGGTCGCCGTTGGCGTCCAGCACGATGCCGCCCACGCCCCGCAGGGCCTCGGCAGCCAGGAACTTCACCTTAGCATCCGGGTCGTCGGGCTTCACCAGGCCAGTGGGGTGCACCTGCACCCACTCCAGGTCGATGCTGAGAGCGCCAATCGCCTCTCCCATCTTGATGGCATCGCCAGTGCAGTGCTCACCGTTGGTGGTGGGCAAATGCAGCAGGTCCGGGCGGTACTGGGCCAGCAGCGAGTCCGAGCCGAAGTCCGCACCGAAGCCGCCAGAGGCCAAGACCATGGGTCCGAACTCCTTGATCACCTTGCCCGCCTTGCGGTACTCGCATCCCACCACGGCCTTGCCGTTCTGTAGGAGCTTGGTCACCTCGGCCTTGGTGATGATGCGGGCCCGGTCCGTCTTCTCAGCCACCTTCTCCAGCATCTGGATCAAGGCATAGGTGATGGTCATGCCAGGGAACCGCTCCTTGCCGCGGTGAGTGCGGGGCTGAGAGTGGCCTCCAAGCCGGGCCACCAGCGACAGATCCAGGTCGAACTTGTCCACCAGCCAGTCCACGTCTGCGGCGCTGTTGGCGCAAAGCACCTTGGCCAGCTCCGGCTTCTTGGCGCCGCCCTTCAGCGTGTCCGCGATGAAGATCTCGGCCGTGTCCGGAATGGACTTGGCCTTCTGCGTCTTGGTGCCTGCACCGTTGATGCCGCTAGTGGCCTTGGTGCTGTTCCCTCCGCAGAAGGAGGACTTGTCCAAAAGCACGGTCTTGCCACCGTTCTCAACCACGGTGTTGGCGGCGGACATGCCGGCAAGGCCGCCGCCCACAACAATCACCTGGTTCGCAGGGAAAACTGCCGCCATGGCGGTCACGCTGCTTGCGCACACCTTTGAGCTACAAGTTAACGTCTTGAAGCCAAGCCGGCAATTTCAGTCGCAGCATTGGTATCAGGTAAGTATGTGTGCAGCGCTCAATCAAGGCTGTATGCAAGGCTATAGACTAAATACCATACATGGCAAACTGTATGACTGAAATACAATCCTTTGACAGCTGAAGCCGCCATGGATCAATTGACGGCCCTCTCCATGAACCGAACCGAAAAAAGTTAGGTACGCTGTTCTAAGGCACGTGTAACTGGCCTGGAACATGGCAATCTCTCTCTCTCTCTCAGCTGCTGACGCCATGTCTGGACGTGCGCTGAGCAATCGGTACCTCACCCAGCACGTTTCTGTTGACAAATTACTAGATAGCTGACAGTGGCTGCACCTTCTGCTGATATCAACTCTGGACAAACATCAGGGTTTGCAGGCATGCCACGCCCACTAAAGAACATTTATTTTTGGAAGCAATCAAAGATGCTGCAGTTGCACTGGCCTGGTTGTTCTCGAGAACAACAGCTCCAAAAGTCCTCACGCGGGGCACCATCTTCAGGTGCACCCTTCGAGTCCCCGTCAGACTCTGCGGACTTCTCCTGAATTCGCGTCGACGTCCGGATCACAAGCCGCAAGGGTTCTCCTTCGGACAATGGCAAACCTATTCCTCCAGTATGCTTTCGTTAAATTCTGGCGGCCAGCATGTCATCACACATGCAGAAGCAGATACGAATGCCGAAGTAGCTGGATTGCAGCGTCTTGCAAGCAGCCGCAAAAGTTGCAGGCCCAATGTCCGTGATGTGCAACCGCTTTCAACATATCTGAAGTGCCATGCTGTCCTCATGCTCCAATGTCAAGCACCGCAACAAAAAATGCATATGGGAGGCGCTCTCTCCAAAGTTTGGAGCACCTGCCCTTGGACTCGGATTTCCAGCCTCTTTCTTTGGCCCATCGAGCACTGCCCGAGCGCGCGCCTCCGGTCACAGCCAACGTCCCGCATGCGCTCGCTCCCCTCACACTCACTGACGCACCCGGACACGACAAACCCATCGCTGAGTTCTCGTTATGGAAGATCCTGAATCCTCTCTTGATGCAAACACTGGAAGGCGTACATGAAAAGCAAACAGCGACACATACTGACCACATAATATAATGTCATATCTTATAATATCATCAAATGGCATATCATCATATCATACCATTTCATTTCGTATCACATCATATATAGATGTCCGTCTAAGCGGACTGCGAAGCAAGGGAAGTTGCAAGGAACTTCCGTGATATGGATGGAACTTTACACATCTGGCGCACCCTCGCTGCAAATGTTCTCGGCAAGCACAGATTTAGAGATGCGCTCTCAGTTTCGCGTGGCGCCGTGCCGCAAACCTGTGTTGAGCGGGGAGGGCCGCATTGGTCTTTGTGGATTTGAATCCTGATAGCCCCACGCGCTTTGCAGCCTTCAAGCCTTACAAAGAACTCGCCGCACCTTGGGTATGGGCTGACCAGTCCAACACGTGCGATCACTTCGCTCCTCTGCGCTCACCTTCTGGGATCAAATACCATCGCACCCGCGCTTTTGGGGGTCGGCCCAAACCAATTGGTTGTGTGCGAAATGCCTTTCCGGCTTTGCTTGCACATTTTCCAACCGATCAACTCATCTGACTGAGTTGTCAACTACCAATCAACTACGTATTGGAAACAGCTGACCCAATACATCCATGGCCAGCAAGTTGCTAGCGACTTATGCCAACTGACAAATAAACCAGCTAGCTACCTTGCTAGCGGGCTAGCCAGCTAACGGACTTGCTTTCCAAATATCTAGCCAACTAACAAAATGGAGAACCACCTGGGTGGCAAAGTCACCAACAAGTTGACTGCTTGTCCTGGCAAGCTAGATAATTATATATTTATATACATGTAACCAACTTGCCAGCCAAATAGCTAGCCGGCTAGCTAACCAAGTAGCTAGTTGGCTACCAAGACAGCTGGATATTCAGCTTAGTGCCAAACAAAGCAGCTAGCCACCTAAGTAATTAGAAAAGCAAGTGCGAAGGTAAAGGTAACCCGCTACATTACACATCAAGTAATTCGACTAAAAAGCCAGCTAGGTACTATTTGTAATGATGAATGAGAACGCATGTGATTGGCTGCATTTCAGTGTCAGCCCGCTGCGCTGGAGCTGAAAGGCTCCGAACAGCAAGGTGTGAAGCTCTGTCGGCCAGGCGTAGGGTTTGGAGTGGCTACGGGACCAACAACAACGAAAGCTGTAGCAAGCAGCATCCTGCATGTTCATGGCATGGCGGCACCAGGTTCAACACCAAACAGCCAACCAACAAGCAAGCAAGTAGGAGGGCAAAGCAAATGCATAAACCCAAAGAAGGCAAGAAGGCAAGAAGGCAAGAAGACAAGAAGGCCAAAAAGCAAGAAGGCAAGAAGGCAAGAAGCAAAGAAATCAAGAAGGAAAGAAAGTAACACATCAAGAAATATATAAACAACAAAATACTGAATAAACAAGAGCATACCAAAACAATAAATATACAAATAGATAATTTTGAAAGAAAGCAAATGTAAATAAAGAGCAACTCACAACTTGTTTTGAAGAAACAGAAAGAAAGGAACAAAACATAATATAAGCCATAAAAGGAAAACACATGACAGACAAACCAACATGCAAGTTTGAGAAACAAAGCATGAACACTGAACATGCAAACAAGCAAACAAACAAACAACTAAGCAAACAACTCAACAAAGGAACTAAAACAACAAAAAAACACACAAACAAACACATAAAGAAACAAACCATGAACAAAGAAGCACACACAAAACCAACTCCCAAACAAACAAACAAACAAACAAACAAACAAACAAACAAACAAACAAACACACAACACAATAAAAGAAAGAAGCAATCAAACAAGCAAGCAACAACATACATGCAAACAAACAAACAGCCTACAGGTGGCTTTTGCACTATCGCATCATGTGTTCTACTTCTGCGCTGGCCTCCGCCAGCAGGAATGCTGCATTAAAAAAAAACATACTTACGCATATAGCACATAGATTGATACATGTTTGTTTACATACCAACTTAAACACTATATGAACTAGTCTATCGACTTCTGTGTTGACCAATCTATTAATTATATTATTGCACATTCATAATCAAAGGAAATGAAGAGGGACCTTCTGTTGCACTGGAACTATCTGAGCCAGCCCTCTCCCAACATGCTTGCACCGCGCATGAAACTTGAAGACTAGACAGACTGCCTGTGAAAAACCTGCGACAAAAGCTGGACAATGCGAGAACTGAGGAATAGAGGCGGGCCGAAACCGCTGCCCTGTGCGTGAATTCTGCTCTTCCGCATGTGCGATTTCAAAAGTGAACCCTGTGCGGACTTCGCAGGGTCGACCCTCAAAGCCATTCTTTTCCCCAACAGCTCAAAGCTTTGGGGTCTCAGCCCAGATAGGCTTCGGGGCGGTCCGGGGCGGCCCGGAGGTAAGGTTCCACGAGGGTTCCACCAGGGGTTCCACATGCTGTTGGGGATATCACCCGAGCTTGTTTTTTGCTATGTTCGACCTCAAAAACTCATTTGCTTTTTACGCTGTTCAGCTGGCGCAACCATCAAAACGCGAACCCTCTGCAGACTTCGGTGGGCCGACCCTACAAAACTCGTGGTTTTGCGTTGTTCACTTCGCTCGCAGAACTCTCTGCGGACTTTCGAGGGGTCAGCCCGGAAAACTCAGCGCGGTTTTGCATGTTTCACTTTCGTAGAAAGAGAAGGAGGGAGAGAGAGAGAGAGAGAGAGGAAGAGAAGGAGAAAGAAGGGGAGAGAAACAAAGAGAGAAGGAGAACTATAAAGAAAGAAGAGGAGGAGAACCACGAAGATACTCAGAAACAGTGCAGCAAAGAAACAAGGAAAGGGAAGGTAAAAAGAGAAAGAGAAGGAGGAGAAGGAAGAATAAAAATATAAAGAAGAAAGACACTGAGAAAGAGAAAGTCAAAGAGAAAGAAAGAGAACGAGAAACAAATCTGGAGAAGAAGATTAAAAAACGAAAGAGAAAGAGAAAGACAACGCGAAGGAGAAAAAACACGGGAATGAATATAAAGGAAAGAACGAGAGAGAGAGAGAGAGAAGGGAAAGAAGCGTGCTCTAAACTGTTGTTCTTGTGTCTTTGAAACTTCCGCCCCACGGCTCTGCCGGATTTTACTGGTATGACATCATCAACATGAAACTTCGAACTGTCGCTCAAAGCCATGTGCGCCTCTTCAGTGGTCTCTTCACTGGAATCACCCATGAGCGGCACATGGTCTTCATCAAGGTGACGGAAGCGCACCGCTGTACACACGGAAACACCAATCGCTTCATCCAGAATGCTAAGTCATTTAGTATCGCTGACATTTGCGCTTATGCCAGAGCATACCGTTTGCACTCAAGTAGTAGATAGCGACTGGCTGCACACCACATCTATGCGAAATTTATTGACGTCTCGCGCTCAAGGTTTGTGTCTCGATTATCTCCCGATCCAACCTTTCAAAACTAACCACACGGTGAGCGATTTGTGCGTTCTGTTTGACCAAGACTGCTACATCCGTGTGTCTTCAGCAGCGTGAGCATCATCTGCCGATACCAGCGGCAGTGTACAGGTGGCAGCACTTGCTCTCGATAGTCTCAAGTTGCTCCGGACCTTCGAACCCAAAAACAGCTCTTTGCGGAAAGCAGTCTGAAGTCGCATCCAAGATACATCTAACCCAGCAAGACTTGGTGCTTCAAGCTGCTTCAATGGCTCAACGTTGCACTTGTGCTCAACGCACAAAGTAGCGAGTGGCCCTCTACATCCTGCTCCTTTTCTCGTTGTGGCAGAACTTTGGCACGATGTCGCGGTGATTTGTCCCCTAGCCCTAGTGTGTCGCACTTGGGCTTGTCAAATTACAAGGCGAAGTGGACTTGTTCGGACAAACACTGGTATCCTGGGGCCCTTGCAAAGAAAGCTTAGCTTGCTTTGAAAGCACCAGCACACTCGCAAACCATCGACCTGGCAACAAGCAGCACACTCTGAGTGTCTCCCGCATTGTGTCAAGACTCTCCTGCGGAATTTGAAGACCAACATGCTCCTAACCTTTGTGAATGCTCAAAAGAAGACTACCCCCTAACACGGATGTGCCGATTTTGCAACAAGCATCGACTACTTAACGCATGCCCGGATTGCTCAACCTGACGGATAGTTGAAGAATCCCAAAACAGTCAATGCTTTGAGCAGAACATGATGCCTTACGTCCTTACTGAGCCGAAGCTTTTGGCAGCTTTCTGAACATTCGATACATCGAAACGT